ATGTCCTGAAGTCAATCTACGTGGGTCTTTGCACATACATGTGCCAACACTCCTATGCACTCCGTCCCGATTGCCCAGCCATCTGGAACATAAATTAGAACTCAGAAACATCCCAAAGGTATCCGGGTTGAGAAACAGTGCCTGGGTTTGAACCTGGAATCTTCTGCAGGCAAAACCTTCGTAGGGATGTGTGAGGAATCTGGTGGGGAGAGTAAGAAGCAAGTGGATTGAGCGCAAGTGGCATAAATCGGCCCAGGTTATGAAAGTTGTACTAGATCCATGTGCTTTTGGGGTGCTGGTTTGCCTATAGCACTATAGCTCAGTGCTGTGATTTAAGTAATGTTGTGCCAGTGTGTGAATGAATGCAAATGTGTGCAAATGTGTGCAAATTTCTTTAGCGTATAAAAAAATGCATGCACCATAGCCTGTCCTAGAGACAGAAGTCAAGGGAAAGAAATCTGCCTCAGCCTGATCCTTGGATCAGGCAGGAAGCTGGGGAAGACAGCTCTACACTGTTGGGCTCAAGCTTCCAGGCTTCCCAACACTGGCAAATCCCTTCATTTAGGGATTTCTTGGGGAATTCTGGGTGCACCAAGCACCCTGACATAAGAAGGAATGGAAGTTCTGCCTTTCCATGCCCATTATGTTAGGGCTGCTCTGCAAGCAAGGCAGGATGTCCACACTGCAAACACAACGGGGTGTTCCACAACTTACAGAAGCACAGAGGGAAGCTCTTGCACACGTCAGGCTCCAAGCACAGAGTAGAGACTCTTTGAACCAGGCATCATGTGTAGGCAGATGGTTCCAGCCTCGGTGGGATGGTTCATTCACTCCAGGTTGTGCTTGGGGCTTCTGAGGAGCTCAGCGTGGTGCTGAACCTAGCGGGGAGAGAGAGTTCAACACCCCAGGGAGCTCCTCTGAAGTCTGGATGAAGGCTCAGAGTGGATGACCCTCCCCAGTGACGTTGGAGCTGCCAGTCCAGGAAGATCCAGCTTTGGGCCAGCTCGGAAGCTACGCACTGGCAGACCTGGTCAAAGCAGCAGTAGCGCCATGCTGCTCTTTGTGAGAGGGGAAATGGGAAAAGTGTAAATCCACCAGCCTTGCTGCTCAGCCGGAGAGGCGCATTGAGATGATAATCTGACTGGTGTTCCATATATGCAGCCTTGGCATCTGGGTAGGGTCAGAAATGCTGCACAGGGGCCACCCTTTGCCTAGTGTTGGAATACAATTCCCATCATTCCCAAACAGCATCGCGAGCACACTAGGTTGCAGGAGGATGGTGTATCCTCCATCCTTCCTCTTTGTCCATAGAACCACGCACCCTGTTTAATCGAAGGCTCAAGAGGCACTTCACAAATTACCCATTAATGTGCATGCATAAGATGCTTTAAACAAACACCTAAATATCTAAAGGGAACAATGAAAGCATGTTTGCAAACATGGATATTTTATTCCCATGCTCACTAGGGAACTGCAAACTTCCTTTTCACTGTATGCTCTAAGACAAACTGCACACACAGTGTGCTAAATAGATTTTGTACTGTGGACACAAACCATTGTTTTTCACTTGAGGGTTAGAGCATTTTAATTAATATTCAGGTTCCTCCACCAAATGGCACAGTTCAGCATTTTGGAGAGGCACTGTAAACATTGATTCACATGTGTTTAATATTTTAGAAGTACTAAATAATAGGTATAATATATGATTATAATAATTAACATGGGTGCTTATGTATTTTTAAATTATGGCATTTACAGGATATAAATCACAGAGCACAGATTCACTCTGAATCACCTGGATCCCTCTCTCTCCTTGCACCTGCTCCATCAACTGAGCAAATCTAAAATACTTGCCATTCTTCTTAAATCATAAAAATAATAATTGACATGGAAGGATTACATTGCAAGGTCTGTTTAAACTATATCAATTGCAGTTCAGGTTTGCAGCCAACTACGGTTTGTGCCCTCGATGCTTGTGAGCCCCCAGACTTGGAGGATTAGGGGCATCTTATGCTGAGTGGAAGGAGCCGTGCAGGGGCTCCGTGCCTGCCTGTCTTCCTGCGCTGCATGTTAGCTAGACGGTCATTTTCAGCCATTAAGCTGGGGCACTTTGGTGAGGGAGGTAATGAGGCTGCAGATGAGACAGGATACAGCATAGCCAGGTCACTGCGGTCTCCTGCATTTCAACTGCCCCCTTCACCTGCTACCTGAGGTTGTGTTTTCCACCCTGGAGAGGCAGCTAGTGTAGCTCTTTCCATGCTGGCTGTGAGGGGAGGCGAGACAAGTACGGATTCCTCCCTGCCAGACTGGAGCTCAGTTTCTGCTCTGGGATCTGGGAATCTGAAGTATCCCGTGGCCCCCAGATGATGTAGGGGTCCTACGATCACTCTGTTGTGTGTGTTTTAGGGTTTTAGATATTTTCTCCCTTTCTTGTAGAATTCCATTAGGCAGGTTGGGTGACTTAACAGGTTTTTGCTGTTACTGCTTCAGACACATTAAAGTGCAAAAAAATTACATTTCAAAGGCCATTAGATAGTTTCAAAATGCAATGAATCTATAAAGAAATAAAAAGGAGGATGTTGCAGTAATCTTCTAGGACTTATTTCGGGTACAGATATGGTAAGAACAAGTATTTTTGTTTGTTTGTTTGTTTGAAGCTCTTTCATGTGTTGGTCTGATTTAAAATAGAGCTTGGATATCTCTGCAAGCTTGCTAAACTGTGTAGGCATGCTGCAAAGAACATTGGTGAAAATGTCCAGCACTTTCTCCACCGTTTCTGCATCTAACTGGGAGGCATTTCCAGCAGAGGAGAAATTGACAAGGGATTAGATCTTCCCTGGCTGCAGATGCCTCTGCTGGGGGTGGGTGGAGGAACACGCCAATGCCATCTGTGCCCTTTGCACCAGAACTGGTGAGAGCCAGTGTGGTGTAGTGGTTAAGAGCCTGGGACTGGGACTCAGACGATCTGGGTTCTAGTCCCCGCTCAGCCATGGAGCCAACGGGGTGACTTTGGGCCAGTCACAGACTCTCAGCCCAACCTACCTCACAGGGTTGTTGTTGTGGGGATAAGATGATGGAGGAGATATAAGCTGCCTTGAGCCCTTTGTAGGAAAAAGGCAGGATATAAATCGAAAAATAAATAAAAATAAATAAATAAATAAAAACGGGATAAGGCACACACGGCCCATGCTGCAAACACCCCCCCCATCGTGCAAGAACACTGCGCAAGACCGTGGACCATCAGACACGGAGTTGTAGATACAGGAGGCCAACAGGTTTGCCCATCTGCATGATGTGCGCATTATCACATGCAGGAGTTTAAAAACCACATGCAGGTGTTGCTTGTAAGGGTGTGGGCTTCCCATGGATGTGTGCTTTCCTGGATATTTAAGAACACAGGGCAGAAACATGGAACACCCCCCCCCCCCGCCGGCCGAAAAAGGAGCTGATTGGTTTTATGCAGCCTTTCACCTGATCCTCATCGCCCATTGATGCACTGAAACTGGCTCCCATGTTCCAATGCCTAGTTGGACTAGGAACTCCGCAGGTACATACATGGTGCCGACCTGATTCATCTCTCCAGACCAGGGACTATATGCATACAGCTTCGCTGGGACATTCATGATAACACCGATCAGCATTTCTGAGGAGGAGGTCTGTGTTCTGCTCTCCCCTGCTCCCCACACTGCCAAGCAGCTGACTGGCACTGGCACAATGACCGATGCGAGGCAATTTGGGAGTTCGATTCAGCAAAACTCATCAAGCTTCTTCCAGTTCCACCATGAAGCTTGCTCCAACCTGTCCCCAAATCAGACTTTGCACTTCAGTCCATTCTTCAGTCTTTCTGCATGAAGATTTGTATTTTTGTGTGCAGTTTTCCATAGAATGCTCGAGTTGTGCACATGTACACTTTTGTCATAAACTTTTGCTTGTGAAGCAAGGTTTGGCCTGCGTAGCTCCAGCTGCTGCCATGGCAGACAATAAGATATGGGCTTCTGAATGAATTCTTCAGAGTATCCAGGAAGAATATTTTGTGCATTATCCATATATACCACTTTGTATTTTCCAGATCATCCAATGATGCTGGTGAACCTATTCTCACGTTTGTCTATTTCAGTTTTCTCATATTGTACAAACCTCCCTCTGCCTCACACATAATGCAATACCAGTGTGGCATGGCCTGCAAAGATGCAATTTTTGGAGGTGATGTACCACTGTAAGCACCTTTTTACATGCACAGACTTGTGTGTGGCCACTTGTGTGTATGCATGAATTCTTGCACAGCTCAGAAGGGATCCTTGGTCTAGGTAAGCATGTGAGCCAGTCCGTTGGAGAAAAGAGGGGTGCAGTGGCAATGGTCATAAGCCATTCAGTAAACAGCACAGTCGTCATTTCCAAGAGCAGCCCCAGAGATGGAAACCTTGCAATGGGTAAGCAAAAACCAATGTACGAAGGAGTAAAACTTCAGGTACTTGTAGTGTCTTTTGCCAATGTGCAATAAGTAAATATTCAGGTGCTTGTAACGCCTTTTGCCCTCACGACTACTCACTGAAAAGGAGCCAATCAGTTAATGAAACTAATACCCTTTGAATGAATGTTGCAAAGGATGCATTAAAAGTGTCTCCTGTGTCTTACCATCCTTAACAGCATATATTTACTTCATGCTTCAGCCTCTGAAAGCCGAAGTCTTGCTGCCAGGCAAGACAAAGCCAATAATAGCCCAAATTAGCACTGCAGATGTCAAAATATCAGCCTGTCTCACGCTCTGCATAAAAGGAGTTCCTGGTCTTGCATCAAAGAAGCTCCTTCCACCATTCTTCTCTGGTGCCTCCCTTTGTATGGTGCTTTGAGTACTTCTCTGACTGAGACCCACAATGGGCCAACAGTTTGTCACTGGTGCTAATAACCGAAGAAGCTTTGCTTCGGCATCCACCGTCGGAGGTGGTGGGGCAGCCAGAGTCGGTGGAGCACCCATAAGTCAACCTGGGGGGACCACCCGAATGTATGGAGGCTGCAACACTAGCAGAAGTTTCCATAACTTTGGTCGAACCCATAGGATTTCTTGTTGTCCAGATCAACTGAGAAGACACTACAGATATATTGATGTAGACAGGGGAAGTGTGGCAGGTTACAGTGCCCTTCCGGGCACCTTTGCTTTTGGAAGCCATGCCGCCAGGCATTGGGGAGATGGACTCCATGAGACTTCTATTAACAAGCACCTCTTAGAACCTCTCCATCTGGGGATTGACCCGCATGACCAACAGAGGAAAGCGCGTGAGAAGGAGCAGATGAAGGACCTCAACAATCAGTTTGCCGGCTTCATTGACAAGGTGAGAGGATCATGATTTCTCTTCTTTTCTTCCTCTTTATTTTGGTGCTAGGGCACAAGATTGCAGCTGTGACTGAATACTTGAATATACAAGGCAGAATTAGAGTCTCATGTATTGTCACCACCACGCACCATGGTGACTTGTGTAACATGAATTTCATACCGCACATGGAGACAATGTATATATCTTGTCATGCCTGGTTGCTATACCCAGAAAGACTGGATGTGTGAATAGTGTCAATGGAAAAACATGGTGATTAGAAGGTAGGGAGAAATAAATATTTGGCTCATGGGATGATTCATAACTCTGAGGAATGAAATTCAGGTTATGTTGGAGCTCCCTGACTAGGGACTCCTTTGTCCAGAGCAACCTTCTTTTCCTGGTAAAAGAAGCTGCGGAGAAGAAGGGAACTGATATTCCTTCCATGGCTGAGAGCAGTTCCATTGAAGCCATAGCACAGAGTGGAACACCACCACATGCCCTTCAGCCCATGGCTGTGGTCCTAAGTAGCAGTGGGGATTCTTCTACAAACCACTGTGTAGGTTGACCCTAAGTCGGGAAGCCCTGGACTTGGTTTTGATGATGAAGCAGAGGGGTGGCTGCAGGAGGCCGTGGCCACTGTCTCCCTGTTGGTGTGTGGGCCTTTAGCACATGCCCAGCCATGCCTTCCCTTAGCACAAACTTTGTTCTCAGTGCAGAGAAGCAATGAGATTAATTATTCTCCAAAGATGCTGCCCTTTGTGTCTCTGCATGAGTGAATGCTCAGGCTGCATTTTGCCAGTTAAAAGGCATCCTAGTGAGAATGTTTTGTGCAGAAATAGGGGTTAGGCTTCTCAGAAATGGGCCGATTTTAAAAGTTACAGATCCTCCTTCAGCTGTAAGAGTGACACGTGTACCTTCAAAAACCAATGTGACATAGCAGCTAAGATTTTGGATTGATGCTCAGGAGAGCAAGTCACCGGGTGGCTCTGGCTAGCATTCTTCACAAGGCGATTGGGAGGACAGAATGGAGAGGAGAATTGTGTGCGCTGTTTTGGTTTCCTTGCAGGCAAGGTGGGCTTTAAATGTAACACAACTAGAAATAAGAATGAAAAAGTGCCACCACGGCTATCTGAGTTTTGGAAAATACTGTTTTAGCCCATCCCATACATTAAGGAAAGGTCTTTCTGACATTCCTATTGTTGATACCTTAATTAACTCTAATATTGATAGTTTTTAGTCAAGACAAATAAACAAAAACTGGGGGTGGCTAAAATGAAGCCTGTTCTATTTTCAGTGCCTTGTCCACAGCAGCCGGATAGGCTAACCCAGAAATCAGGTTGGAGTGAAGAGGCCTTCAAGGGGTCCAAATTGTTTTGCAGTCTACTATGGTCACACAAAGCAGCTCAAGGGGATTTTTCTTGGATCATTTTTTGCTGGTCCAATAAAAAATGGAATGGAAAGTGGAAGTATCCTCAGGCTTTTGATCTTTACTTGGTTTTGCTGTTTCTCTAGGAAGTGTGATTCCTGGTGGTATTTTCCTTAATGATTATTTAACGTACTCAGTTTCTGCCAACTATTCGAGAGGCAAGGAGCAATCTGGGGGTGGACTGGCTTCTTGTGTAGTCACTGCACATAAATGGCTCCTTTTCAGGGGGCTTATCCCTTTATAAATCAAATGGGTGCTCACATGGAGACCCCTCCAGACCTCATTCCTGGGAATCAAACTTTTTTAAGTGGACTCGTATCCAACAAGTGACCACCAACCAATGGTACTTCAGATTGAACGACCAGGAGAGGGAGGCCACATCATGTCCACAAATTTTCCACCCAACATCTAACTTGTTGAATGGCAATTATCATATTAAATAGGCAAATGTCACTCTAGAAGGTTGGAATTGTATATTGTCCTCTGATCATCTAAGAAATTCTATAGTTCTAGAAATGGTACTTGGTTGCTACTCCCAGGTAACTTCAGTATCACATTCCCTTTTATTTTGGGAAGTTCATGTAAGGAAGTAAGAGTCAAAGAATGCCAGTCTTCTATCTGATAATATCTATAGATGAATTAAAAGGGAAAGAGAAAAGTAAGTAGCATAGCATTCTTAAGATCTTTTACCCCATCATTATTTGGCTTCACCTCATTATTATCAAGAGCTGATTACAAGGAAGACACATGAGTATTTCTTGACACAATGGTCTGAACAGCCCTTTGCTCTCTTGCATTATCACAGGATTATATTTCAGCACTTTCTTCCACCTGCAGGGAACACTGGTGGCTCTTGCAGCAAAACTATTATCCCAGGGTCTGAATGGGAGAGTGGCTTCCCATTCTTTCTTTTTGGACTTTCTTTTTGGAAGAGGCAGTTGGGCCATCACCATTGTCGATGGACAAGTGACTTTGGGCTTCTCTCATTCTGGGTTCTGATTACTTGTGAGGATGCAACGCTTTTATTAAAGAGTTGATGAAGGGATCACCTGTGATGAATAGAATTCCTCCTGGTTGGTTTTTTTTTCATTGTTTTGACATTTTTATTTGCCTATCAATAAAACCAGATTTTTTCTAGTAACCATGATGTTTTATTTACCAGAAAAGTCTAAGAATGGGCCCAGAGAATGTCTCTTAGTGCCATATAAGTCTTTTGCATATAGCCAGAAAATTATACATGGGGCTCCTTCTGGATGAGGCAGAAAACAGGTTGACCTCAGAAAGTTGTTGTAGGAGCATGAGACAGGTTTCCCCCATCATAGATCAACAACTGACCATGACTCCTTCCTGAAATTTATGTCCTCACCACATCACTATATGCTGCTCTTGAAGATTTTGGGGCTGCTTTTGATTTCATACCCTGGTCTCTTTGGCACAAGGTAGCTCTTTGGAAAATGGATCATAGCTTGACTGGCATTTGAAGACCTGGGAAAGAGTGATGGGCTACCAAAATGTGTGGAATAATTTCTACTCCCACCCCTGTGGGCTCGTTGATTGCAAGGGGCTAAGATGGTGCCCCTCTGGAAGTCTCAGGCTGTCTGATCAATGCTGACTTCTGGACTACCGCTGTCCCAGCAGCTAGGTGTTCTTCCAACACACTGTATAAGGACTGCACAGCTCTTCCTGGGAGAGAATCTCTGTAGCTGTCTTTTACCAGTCTCCACAGTTTCAGATGGTATTAAACTCAATGAAGATTAAATACCTTGTAGGTAATGGATGTTAAAAGACAGAGCAATGGCCAATTCAGCTCCACTAGATGTTGTCAAGCCGGATGCCTGATGGTAGAGGATCTGGCTCATCTTCTTTGGGATTGCCGTTGTATCTAGATTTCAGAAGTGGGTACCTTGATCCACTTTCTGCTAATATTAGACAGAACGCTCTTTGAACAAAACCCCGTTTTTAATTTCTGCGACAGATTGTTTTGTGACATGCTTCATTTTTAAGTTTGTTAAATTGACTTGGGGGAAGGTTTTTTTTTTTAAAAAAAAATCTCAACAGATGACAATATAGGGTACTGAACACCCTGAATTAATGTAATAATTTTAGTATGCAAATTATTCATTGTTTCTTTTTGTGATATCTTTTGTGTTTTAAGACTGATGTACCTGAAAAAGCCTGGTTGCATATCAGGGAATACACTGAACTGAACTCTATTAGCCCCATCAAATTCACGTACCCACACAGACACCACAATTTAGAGCTGTTTTGAAAAGAGGCCTTGGTTTGGTGCCACAGCCATGCATTAATTCTGAGTCTAAAGCTGATTCAAAAAGAACTTTTAATATGCTCATGCCATGACTTTGCTTTCAGACGTCTGAGCAGCTCAGCAGTGATATCCACCATCCTCTTTCCTTCTGCTTTTCAGGTCAGAGTTTTAGAGCAAAGGAATCAGATGCTGGCCACCAAGTGGGAGCTGCTGCAAAGCCATAAGCTTCCATTGGCGCAGAAAGATCTCCGGCCTCTCTGTGAAAGCTTCATCAGCAGCCTGGAGAAAAAGCTCGACTGCCTGCTGTGTGAGAAGAGCAGACTGGAAAGCCAACATGAAACCATGAAGAACCTGATCGAGGACAGCCGGGAAAAGTGAGCAACTGATTACGCAACCCGTTTCCACAGTTGGTCCCTGAGTTAGTGAACCCGTAGCGATGCTGGCCCTTCCAGAGGCCCTGCCCCCCGAGATCCAAGCTCAGAGCCAGATGTTACAGCTGGACAGAGGAGCCCTTCTTTCCACACAGTCCCCAAACACACACACACACCATAGCACTGCTGCTTTAAAGCATGCAGTGCGGGGTCACTGTGGGGAGACCTCCTTTGCACTTCATCGACTGCTGCTTGTCAGAGTGGAACCCATGCAGATTGATGGCGTCATTTCTGACTTTCTGCAACAGCAGCATTTCCCTCCAGGCATTAGTAACATGGATGGGATGGGGAGGCCCACTTGTATGGCTGGGGACAGGGGCAGAGCTTCTGTCTCATGTCTCCCTACCCTCCAATGGCCACGTATTGAATGTAGAAGCCCATATTTGAGAATCCAATGGACTGGCATCAAGGACAGGCATGCTTGGGCACCTGCCAAGAGTCCGTATTCCAGCCAGGGTTGTGTGAGGAATCACTTTAGGGTGGGAATCCACCAGGTTCCCTGAGCTTGGTTCCGATGGCCCTGAGTCCGAGTTCTTGGGAAGACTGGGCAGGGCATGAAAGGAAGCCCACAAACACTGGAGGTTTCTTCCCAGCCTAAATCCCAGGAGGGGCCCACAGACAAGAGGCCCCTGGTGTTGCTTCTCCTCTTTGCCATGGCAACGTCTTCTTCTGAGCTGAACAGCGGAGATGGATGGAGATGCAGCCACAGAGGCCCCTGCCTGCTTACTCACTGGCTCTCTCCCCACCGGTCAAGCATGCGAGTGGCAGCGGTGAGGAGAAATGCAGGCAGGGGGAGCACCAGCTGTGAGACGGTGGGCGCAAGCGAGGTGGAGGCCACGGAGGGGGTCTTGCCCAAGGGCCCTCCTTGAAGCCAGCTGGCACTGAGCCTGTGCATGCAGCCCTCTACACAGGCAGGCCACCTGCAGCTGAGAGCCTGGTAAGGCAGGTGTTCCATACATGCAAGCCTATGCAGGGCCTTCCCCAGTGCAGGCGTCCAAGCACAGCCCTGTGGATGCCCAGCATGGGGCCGGGGGCCCCCAGAGCACTGGGAGCAAGGCCAGTGAGCAGCCGTGGCAGGGCCTTCAACTCCCTTCAGGCATATTGCACGTGAGGGGGTTTACATGTTGCCACAAGAGGCCAGACAGTGTGGCACTGGGGTTCGCGTCTTTGGCCACAGTCCCATGCCCACTGTAAACCCTCTTATTTTGACCCGAGGCTCTGGGAGAAGGCAAGTCTGTGGGGTTGGCTGACACTTCCCTGCAGTGCCTTCTGTCTACAGAGAATCCCGGCTTTATTTATTGACTTATTGTAAAAAATGAGGGGCTATTAGAACTCCATACTGGAAGCATTACCAAGCGGCGCACCAGTGCCATCTTTTTTTAATGGGCAGACCACATCCCTAATTGTCATTGACGGAGTAATTCAGCTAAGCCTTTGGTACTCACCAGGAACGGGTGACATCCTAAGGCAATTCTCCCCCTTCTTGCCCTACTGCCTAAGATCAAACGCAGGCCTTTCTTTCCCCTGAAATGCTACTATTCAATGGCAAGTGTGAAACTGGTGAGCACATTCCTAGAAAAGATTGCTTCTCTGGCTCCATGGACATGCATGTGCCAGAAGGTGCTTGGATGCACACTAGGGGCAGGCACTGTCCGGTGTTATGGAGGTACCAACTTTATTAAATTGCTGCTCTCTGCTCTTTGTGAATTGGTAGGCATCCTCTCTCTGCTCGGTGATGGAATCTGATTTTATTTTGCAATGGATGTATGAGAATTCTGTTCCTCTTTGCATTCGTGCATTTGCACTAATACACACTTAGTGTGTGTGCCCATACATGTGAGCACAAAAGCACATTCACCCACAGCAGTTAAAAAGCTCGTAACTCAGAAAAATCCAGTTCACTGCAGGATCCTCAGTTGAGACATATAGAAATCTGAGCTCACTTGAACCCAGCATTCATAGTTATTTTTATAATAATTATTACGCGTGTGTGTGGTGCTTTATGAAGAACTGGCATGACAGAGTCCTAGCCACAGGTCCTATAAACTAAACTTGGCACAGGAAAGCAGCAGTGGAAGATGAGGGGAGGGGCAGAACAGAGGAAGGAATTGGCAGGGGAAGAATATGTAATTATATCAATTACACACGCTTTAGCTACGGTATAAATTACAGCAACATTGGCATCTGCAAAAGCAGGACTGTGGGTGAACTCTGTTCCACACTCGCTTCGTGTGTTGGGATGAACTGACTCCCTTCCTGCTCTTTCTCTCCCTTTCCCTTCCTCTCACCCTCCCTCTGTGTGTCTTTATAAAATCCTGAAAGATACGAAGATGAAGTCAACAGACGAACCCAGGCAGAGAATGACTTTGTCTTGCTCAAGAAGGTGAGTGATCAAAATGGGCATGTCAGCTGAGCTGGCCAAGATCTGTGGCTGCCCGAGGCAAAGAACAACCTCCAGTTGCACAGGCAGAGCTTTTTTCCTCGATGAGGCTGTTCGTCCACCATATCCCCTTCCAGTCTTGTGGCAGAACTGAGCTCCAAGCACCATGCAAAGAACCTCCCCTTTCCTGCTTCTCTGCTGCAGAACAGGTGGCCCGGTGGTGCAGTGGAATGGTGCCATTGCACAAGCGGAAAAATGTTTTCTTTCCCTTTTACAAGTAATACCACATTTCTCCTGTTGACTGAATGTGCTCCTTAAAAGGAAAAGCGAAGCTGGTGGGTCCAGGCGTCATGCAAGGGACCCACGAGCTGTGAGCAAAGAATCGCAGGCACACAGGAAAGGCCTTCTGTAGAGGCCAGCCAGACTGGCAGAGGGATCCCACCTCAGCACTGGCCGCAGGATTGCTTCTCTGCCACTGGACGAGGGTCTCCCCTGCGTTTCCTAGATTCATGCTCTCTCCTGAAGGAGACTGCCGCCCCTCCCAGCTCATGACGACACACCTTTCTCGCATTCTTGCTTTACACTGTTGAGGCCTGCATTGAGATTGACTTGCTTTTAATTTTTATTATTTTTATTATGTTTAATTTTGATGATTACTTTTGTTATTGTTTTTGTTATTTTTAATACTTTTGTTATTTTTGTTATTTTCATTATTTTTGTTATTTTTATTTTTTAATTTGTATTATTTATATTACTTTTGTTACTTTTGCTATTTTCATTATTTTCGTTATTTTTGCTGTTTTTATTTTTTAATTTGTATTATTTATATTACTTTTGTTATTTTTGTTATTTTCATTATTTTTTGTTATTTTCATTATTTTTATTTTTTAATTTGCATTATTTATATTATTTTTAATTTTATCATTATTATTTTAGCACAAGGACGTGCTAGGAAGCCATCCATACAAGCACTGTAGGACAGTTTTGGGGCAGGCCCTTCTTGCTCCAGATGAGTGGGAGGAGTGGCTGGCAGGGCAGATTGTCCCACTGGCAGGAATACCATCTGATGCTGTAACTCAGCCCCTGCGGGAGGAGAGAAGAGGAAATAGCAGGGCCTGTTGTGCAATGTTGTTGCATTGTGCCATCAAGTCTCTGGAACCCTCCAGCCAGACGCCTCCAGAACACCGTGCCCTTGGCAGCCGTGCTCAGCTCCTGTAGACGCAAGGCTGAGGCTGCCTCGGCGGAGCCGGCCCATCTCCTAGCTGCCCTTGCTCTTCCTCTCCTGCCTTCAGCACGACTGCCTTCTCCAGTGAGTCGGGCCTCTTCTGCTGCAAAGTGTGACGGCCTTAGTTTTAGCATTTCTACTTTGAGGGAAAACTCTGACGTCATCTGATATAGGACACACTGGCCCGCCCTTCTGTCACTTTTTTCAGGGGTTTCCTCCAGCATCGTGTTTTGCTGCACTGCACAGACATGCAGCATTAATTATAACCCCCAACATACAGTGTTTCCCGGGGAGAGTAGATGAGCAGCGTCTAGAATACTGACTGCCAGATTATGATGCAAAGGTCACTAGAGAAGGTCACGCCTTCTTCCATAGGTGCCCCCCCGCCCCTTGAGATCTGCAGCAGAGGCCCTCCTCCGGGAACCCTCCGTGAAAGATATTAGGAGGAAAAGTACCCGGAGGAGGGCTTTCTTTGCGGTGGCGCCCAATCTATGGAATGTGCTCCCCAGAGAGGTCTGCCTGGCGCCGTCGTTATTTGTTTTTCGGTGCCGGGTTAAGACCTTTTCATTCCAGAAATATTTTAATAAGTTTTAATATTGCCTTTTCTCTGTTTTTAACTGCAGCCAGTGTGGGTCGGGAATTTATTTATATTTTATGTTGTAAGCCGTCCTGAGGCTTTTTGCGACAGGACGGCGTATAAATATTTTAAATAAATAAATAAATAGAAAAGAGGCAAGCCTTTGTGCAGTTGCCGTACATGTACATAAATCAAAAATAGTAGGTATCAAGTGAATTGCAATAATTTAATTTTCCTTTTGCTACACACTCTGATTTCACCGTACTTAAACCATCTAAATCAGGGGTCCTCAAACCTTTTGCATAGGGGGCCAGTTGAAAGACTGCAGGCTGGTGAGGTGGGGGTGCCTGGGGCCGTGGGCCGGTGAGGTGCCGTTGGGCGCGCGCGAGGCGGCATCGGGCGAGCGCAGCAGTGGCTTGCTCACTTGGAGATCTCCCAGCGAGTCCAAAACCCTCTCCGAGTGAGTGAGCCTGCGAGGCAGCAGGGAGCGTGTGCATATGGGAGGCAGGCGGTGGCGGCGCCTTGCTTGCTCGGAGACTATCTCCGAGCGAGCGAGCGAGCGAGCCACCACCTCCCCACCAGCACAGCAAGCGTGCATGCGGGCGGTGGACAGTGGCACTGGCCAGATGGATGGCCATGGCAGGCCGGATCCATCTCACGGGCCGTAGTTTGAGGACCCATGATCTAAATAGTCTAATGGCTTCCTTTTATTGGTGTCGTGATTTGATCTCTTTTGCTGTACTGATCTTTTCTTTATTCTTGTGTAATATTTTATTGGTCTATAAAGTAAGTCATTCATTCAACTCAGCTTGAACATGGTACTGATCCTGATGTCCAGTGCTCTTCCTCAATGATCTGCAGAAATACAGCAGCGTGGAAAGAGATCTGCACTCCAGAAACGATTCCAGCTTGCATTACTGCAGAGTGCGTCTCCCTGGAGTGCACCTCCCCAGTGCAGCTTCCAGAGAAGCAGCCCATATTGGCCTGCTGGAGCAAAACAGCCAAACATTCATTTCGAGACACCCTAAAGGCTGCTTCCAACCCTTCCACGGGCATCTCATGGTTCTGCTTGGAGCGGTATACGCACATCGGCCAGCCGATCCTCATTTCTTATTTAATTGATGTCTTGCTTCATGGACTAGCAGATCAAAGTGTGTCCTGGGAACACCACAAAGCAATCTCTTGAAGCCATTTGCCATGCTATGAAAGGCCCACTCAGCCCTCTGATGGTACAGATTCATGTGGCAGATTCACCCACACCCAATAATACAGATTCACGTGGCAAGCAATCCCTTTTCCGTGATTAATGGGCAATTAAGTGTTGCATTCCCACTGCTAGATGAATGTAGATCTCCCAGTGAAATGCAAATACATATCATCTTTTTGTGGCTACTCAAAAAATTTATACCTAAAAGGAGCCACCAGGAACTTCCATGTAATAGGAACATAATATGCACCGTGGCGGACTAGAGAAGCATTTCTAAGGATGCAATGCATCAAGAATCCTGTGTGGATTGGGAGGAGCAGTGGATCCCCCAAAATTCATACTGCTCTGATTTTTGCAGTCCAGTTCTCCAGTCGATATAAATATGTGCCAAAATGACAGGAGAAAATAACATTTAAAATTCCTTTCAGAAAAGTATACAGTAGGCAAGCATGCATACACAAATGCCTGTGTTGGGAGAAATGTCCACAAAAATACTTCTGAATTTTTATATAGACCTTAAAAAAGAAATCTCAGTGTTCCAAATAAACTAAATTTCAGACTGGTGAAATTCTCAGTTCAACACAAGCAGAATTTAAGATTGGAAGGATGAGAAACTGAGCAAAACTGAAACTGGCAAATTAATCCATCCCTACCGCTAAATACTCACAGATGCATGGATGCCTACTCCAGATTCCTGTTTCCAAACATCTCTCCACACACATTCATTCTATACATGGAGCAGAGCCCTAAAAACTGAGCATGGTTAATCTGTACTTTGTCTTAGCAGAGCACCAGGGGAAGAAATGAAGGATGTCCAATCACACTTCCAAAATTCGTATTTTGCCAAGCCTGTCTTGGCATCTTTCATCTAATGCTGGAAAATTAGAATTGTGTTCTGCATTCTGTAAAAAGATCCAGATCAGATCAGTGTTGTAGCCAGATCCCGTTACCATTCCCCTTGACTTTGAAATTATGTAAATATTCCAGCCCAGTCTTTTCCCACCTCCAGGAAGTTGATGATGCATTTGAACACCAGAAGGAACTGGAAATGAAGAAGGAATTGCTGAGTGAACAAATACACTTCTTGAGAAACTTCTTTGTGCAGGTCTGTATCCTTATATGGGAATGTGCAACATGGAAAACAACTCTTATTTGTCAATGCAGACATTTTAATTGTACAACCTGTAGATCAGGTATGCCCCGGTCCTAAATATATTTAAGGATCTCTACCTTCCGTGCCTTGGCTATTAGCATAAGGCAGTATCTGATCAAGTCATTTCCCCAAACTCAGCCCTAGCAAAGCTCCAACAGATGTTTTCTTTCCTCAAGCAGGTTCCTGTGATGCTCATGCATTATGTTGTTCAACTCCTTGCACAACCAGCTGCAAAACTGCAGTGCACAATTTGCTTGCACAAATGGAACGTCAGTGGGATTCTCCTCTTGCTCATCGTTCAGAACATGGTTTCTGCTAGCTGTCAAAACACTTACGCTAGTAGACCCAGTGCAGAGCTGGTTCCATAACGCGGGCTGGGGACACCATGGAGAAGGCCCTTCTCTTTTTGTGGTCGACAAAGCTTCCCTCAGAGGTGGCAATCAGAGGCAAGGCCCAGTTCTTGATGATTGTGTCCCGGCAGATTGCAGCTGGGTGAGGCATTCCATCAGGAATTGTGCTCCCAAGCGGTGCAGTACTTCATAGGTTAAAAGCACCTTGAATTGGGATCAGAGGCATACAGTGCAACTGGGCCAGAATTGGTGTTATGTGTTCAGACCTTTCTGTCCCTCTTATTAATCCGGCTGCCACATTTTGCACAAGCTGCAGCTTCTAAGGCCTTTAAGGTGAATTGCAGTACTAGAGTTTAGAGATTACCAGAACGTGGGTGACTGAAACCGGGCTACTTTTGTCCGGGTAGGGGTGTAGCTGGGCCACCAACCAAAGCTGACAGAAGGCACTCTGAGCCACGGATGCCACCACAGCCTCCAGTGACAAAGATTGGTCAGGAAGTGCCCCCAAGCTATAAACCTCCTCCTTCAAGGGGAGCACAACCCCATCCAAAACAGGATGAATTTTCCTAGCCACAGTTATAAGGCAGAGACCTCTGTATACTCAGAGCCTGATTTGCACTTTATAGCAAAGCAGGCAATTTGACTCCGGTGCCCATGGACACCAACCAACGGGTCCTACTGTCCCCCAGTCTTTAAAAAATTGAGAATCTTTCTTAGTGGCAGCAGGGATCACTCCAAAATGGGTTTTTGTCTGTGTGCAAATTGGCAGTTCAAAGTTGTTTGGTGTGTTGGTGTGTGCTTGTGGCACTCTTCTGCCTTGTACTCAGTCTCTCGGGCATGTGACTTGCCCCATGTCCCATGCTGGGGTATTCTTCAGGTGAGCTTCTCAGGCTGCCAGGTGTGTCCACAGTCCAACATGCTTGACTGGCCCTGCTTTAGCGGATCCTGTGTGAGCTCAAGCTTTACAAAACACGCACGTAGGGCCAAAACAGGCTTCACTTTAAAGCTTGATCTTCTGCCTCTTTTCCCCCCTCTAGAATAGGTGCCGAGAGCTCATTCCAGATCTTTAAAAGCCCCCTGCTCAAAATGCTAGGCTCCTGTCTGGATCCGGCGGAGCTCCACCTACTCTAATGTCTGTGTATAAGCACAGCCACTAGGGAAGGCTTCAAAGTAATGCCCGCCTTTTTCGGGTGAGATCTTCACAATTGCAATGATGCAGATCCGCCTTGCCCCCTCCCGCCACCTCAGGATAGGCTGCTGATTCATCTCCATGGCGGTGGCTCAAGATGCCATCCAACCTCTGTTCGTCTGCAGGAGCTCGCCGTGTTGGATCAGCAACACTGTGACATATCTGTGCTTGTCAACATGGACAACAGCAGAGGCTTCAACATGGATGCTCTCATCCAGAATGTGGAAAGCTGGTATCAGACTGTGGCACGAAGAAGCAAGGAAGAAATTAACCTCTTCTACAAGAACCAGGTACGAGCAAAGAATGGTCGTGGCGGTTAACAGACCTACGGTGCTACTTCACCAGAATCCCAGCACTGGTCTAGATTTGTGACATGCAACAGTCATGCTTCCGTCCATCAGAACTTCCCCAGTTCATAGCCTTGAACATGAATGGACTTGGGAATGTGAGCACACACTTCCCCGCTTGCAGTTGCATTTGAAAAAGGAGGCCTCAGGAATCATCCGTGTTTGCATGCACATCTTCCCCAGTGGACACATCAATTCTCATATTTATGAAATGTATATATTTCTCTCCATTGATTAAAAACTTTCTGCACATTTTTCAAGGGGACGCAGTTTTGACAGCATTGTTTGTTCCTCAGATTGCACTGTGTGCTCAGAAATATGTCGACTTCACATATTGTGAAGCACCAGCAAATTGTGTCGGGGTCCATGTTCACTTCTGGGAGGTGTGAACTGGGCACATGTTGCCAAAGAATGTTTTGGAATTGACTTTTCAAATAGCTCTGGCCTTCTATTTGAAGTGGTAAAATTACTATAGTCTATGAGGGGAAGCCAGGAGGGCTGCCTTTCTCCCAACGTATTAGCAGACAGTGAGTCCACATCTGTCCTGTCTTCCCTCTGGGTATTAGATGAATGATCTCCAGCAGAAACAGGGCCACTTCCATGAGGACTTGAAGCACAACCAAAGGGAGATTGCAGAGCTGAACCGACAGATCCAGATGGTGCAATGCCAAGCAGAAAGGGAGAAGAAAAAGGTAGGGAAGCTCTTTGTGCTTTGCTTCATGCAATGCCAGAACACAAATATACTTCCACTTGCAGTTGAGAAAAGGATCTATTTCTTTCTTCTGACATGGGGATCAAGCAAGGCTAACCCAGGGGGAGAACAACTTAAACAATGATTGACAAGGTGGCCATAGATCCAGTTCATAAAATGAGCATCCAACTCAACAGGTTGTGTGAAGACAGTGGTCCATAGGTGAGAACTTGAAAGGTGACTGGGCTTTTCTGCAGGAGCATCAGGGGGTCGTGACTTGGATTCCACTTCCTTGCTGCACCACCAGAACAGAGACTGCGGCTTCCATATTCTTTCATCCTACCTGCAGCCCAGGTATAAGATACCCAGAATCTTATCTGGGGTGTTGCAGGACCTTTCAAATAACGTTTGGAAGGCATGTGGGGGCTGCAGGGGAGCAGAGCAGACATGGCAGCCCCTTTCTGCCAGCAGTGTCTATTTTCCCAGTGCAACAGGGAAGTGGGACCCAGCCCCAGATCGATATTCTACTTATGGGGATTTCTGAGATACATGGCTGAGCAAAACAGGCCTTGGGGAGTCTCATAACACTGATCATACATACAAGGTATAACAGCTCAAATGTTCATTTCCTCTCTAGCTCAAATGCTCATCTGAGGTGGAGAAGGATTCCTTGGTTTGGATGGAAGATGGGTCCAAGTTCATGCAGAGTGACTCAGAATAAGCTGTGCAACTTTCTAGCTTGGGGCAGAAATAGCAGGACTTATTCCAAATCGAACCAAACTGAGCCTCAAGGCACTTGTCCCTACCACTCCTTCTATGCATCCAGATCTGGAATGCAGCAGATTCTAGCTATGAATCCCTTTTGCCCACATGAAAAGCACTCCCTCTTGCATGAACTGAGAGTGCACCATGAGCCTCACAAGCACCCAACGATCCTCTGCACTCACATGGTGGATCAGGAGAAAGTTCAGCAGTGGGCAGGCAAATGACCTTTCAGGAAAACTGGTCCTCTGTGAGCACTCGGAATCTTCCGCAGCCTATGATACCCGATTCCAAGCAAGCCCCAGTTTTCAGTGGGAAGGCGCTATAGAAATCGAATGCTCCATTCATGAGTGATAGCCTGGGGATTCAACATGCTGATCCTTACAAGTGTTCTCCTCCCACCTTTCCCAGGTCTCTTCCCTGCAGGCGTCCATTGCTGGTGTGGAAGAACACGGGAGCCGGGCTTTGAAAGATGCCCGGGCTAGGCAGAGGGAGCTTCAAAACCAGCTGCAGAGTCACAAGAACAATCTGGCCTCCCTCTTACGGAATTACCAGGACCTCCTGAATAACAAGATGGCCCTTGATATCGAGATTACTGCCTACAGGACACTGCTGGAGGGAGAGGAGCAGAGGTGAATGCAATAATAGCATCTCAGAATACAAAGACTTCTGCCCCCTGTTCTAATTGTCCAGAGTAAAGAGGGCTAGTTCACTTAATGAAGCTATCTCTGTCACGTGCAGCCCCCTTCCCCAACCTGATGCCCCACAGATGTTTGTGATTACTCCCTTCAGCCACAGCCAAATTCTGATTAAGTTCCTATGTGCAAAAAGGTGTTTCACAGTCCATAAAGCTAAGGATAACATTGCAATCATAACTACACAGTTAAAGTTATATCCAACCTTTTGTTCTTCTTTTCTCTCTATTTAAACAGAATATGTGCAGGAGCTCCTGTGAGTCTTGGTAAGGAATCTGAGGATTTCTTTTATTTTCTGTTACAATCCGATGTATTTCATTTCATTGTATTCTCTCTGCCATGCAGTATTGGCAAGAGCACTCACTGAATCCCTGCTTCTTTTGCAGATGTGATGAGCACTCCTTGTGCAGTCCACAACACCCCCAACATGTGAAAAAATAACTTGAACACTGGGAACGAACATGGTGTGCAAATATGGAATGTGTCTGTTTTCTGGCTGATGAAATTCCCAAAGAAAAGTTGCATATAAGCAGTATAATTACTAGTGGATTTGTAGGATGAAGGCATCTGTGCAGTTTAGACCAGAAACAAGCTGCAGGATTGCTATATAGTCTTCCCATGAAACAAATGTGGTGTCGGGAATGTCATGCAAAGGCATTTTTTCTTGATGGGAACAAGTCCAGCCTCCCTCTGACATCCTGTTATCCCTTCTCTTCCTCTGACACTGCCACAAAGAGCTATAATTAACCACACAGTATCCTGTCATCTGAACCTGACTATCCTCCATTGTAATTATGGTTTGCTTGAAGCAAGCCAACTTTGAACCATGGTTTATAAAGATGGCTTGTTTATACTAACCACAGTTAAAATTAAGTCCGGCTTGCAGATGACTTGCTAGACTGAGATGAATCTAAAACAGAAGTGACAGCTTCCCATTCCTTCCATGTGGCTCCTCCATTGTTCTTGTTTAGCATGAGATGAGGGAGGCGTTTCCTCCCCAGTGGAGTCGATGCATGCAGCCTTCCACTGTCTTTGCCTCATGGCTGGCCACAACAAGGATTCTGAGCGACTCACCCTGGATCATGCGGGGAGGCTTCTGTCCACCTGCCCCGCTTTCCTCTTCCTTCCCTGCTAGCTCCTAGCACTTGTGAAATCAATCGACCAGAGCAGTACTTTGGAGACGGAAGAGACCGAGGGGCTACCCTGGAGCTACAGAGCCCGCACAGGCTCCCACTGCTTGCTCGTGGTGTGACCTGGCCGGGCAGACACAGCCGGAAAGCCAGATCTGCCCTGTGGGTTCCTTTCCACTACAGTACGAGCGTGTTGGCCCATGACCTTCCTAGTGGGGAGCTGCCATAGGAGGCCTCTAGCCTGCTGTGTCAAACCACAGCACACTCTCTTCATTCGCTTTGCGGCCAGGGAAGGGCTGCGGTGTGGTGTGCTGCGTGACTTGGAAGGCTGGGGGCGCTCCCAAATAAATCCATTGCACTCGCAAACCATGTGCCCACAAAGAGCAGCAGGACGGTCCGGGAGAAGCACAGAGAGGCTTCCTGTTTTCATGAAAGAAATCAGCCAGTGCCAAACTCCTGCACACTGTGAGGAAGGTGTTTGTAGAAGATGCACAAATGACAGATGCCTTCAGTTTCCCAGCTTCCGAGGGGCAGACAAAAGGAAAGTTTATTTTATTTATTTAGTAAAAGTTTTTATATGCTGTCCAATACCACAGTCTCTGGACAGCTTACCAAATCACATATGCCCAGAAAACAGCATACCAACAAACACCACACTGCATCTGACCATTAATGTATTTAAGGTTGTATTTGGGAGCACATGCATCTTTCTATGCAAAGCTTCTGCTTTGACATGATACCCAGGAATGTGGCAGGAGGTGCTCTGACCACTGGCACACCATTTAGTGCAGTGTCTTGGGGCACCTGAACAGGCTGGTCCATTTACTTGGCGGAGGAGCACAAGGAAAGGAAGCAATTTGCAAGGAAAGCCTCCAGTCTGCAGTGGCCTCCAGGATGAGCTGTGTAGCACTTGGCCATGTGCTTAACGGATTTCCTCCCCTCTGGAAAAGATTAAACAAATGCATGTTTGGACTTGTACCAACCCATCTAATTCCACATTCTCATGCTTCTGACTGACATTTGCAATAACTTGGTATCTCGTGCGGTCATCTAAACAAATTATGGAAATAGTATACTATGCAAAACATCTTAGTATGATTTGGTAGAGGTTTACATACATAAATCTTCCATCTTCTGATGGTTTACATGTTGCTGAATTCCCCAAGGCAAAATTAGCATCTTTTTGGGTAAAATGGGGGGCAAGGAAGTGGGGAAGGAACAACTATGTCAATGAAGCCAGGGACTGGAACAGCATTTAGTACCCCAGGGGGTAGGTATGCAAGTTAATTAGAATAGTGTCCTGTAGATTTAAGAATATAAAGTAGTAAGTTGTCTCAGCTACATAGATTGCTCTTCTTTGCTTAACTGTGTCTACCATGGAAATCATGAATCTAGTTTTCCTTCATTAGTAAGGAAGCAGTTTGCATGCATAAGTACCATCAGCTCCTAGCAGTTCGATTATGATATCCCAAAGACTGGCAAATTATTCCGGACATGTATTGATCCACCGGGAGAAGCCCAACCTTTTCTTATGTCAGCATTCAGAAGAATGGTGTTCTCCTCAACCTCTATCCTCCCATGCTGTCTGGGGCAGATGGAAGTTGTGGTCCAAAACAGCTGGACACCAGAATGTTTTATGTGGGAAAATCATCACAGTTCTCCACAGCAGCAGTTCCGAAACTGTGTTCCACAGAATCCTAGTTTTCCACAAAAGCCTCATAAGGATTCTGTGAAAAAGCTCAAATCTCAAATGTAAAATTAATTTTGAAATGAACCACACAAGGCCAACAATTGGATAGTCAGTTGGCTTCCAAGCAGCAAACAAGGAATGCATCAAGTAATTTGGTTTCCAGGAGTGTACTGAAAAAGTGTTGGGAATAATCGAAAGAATTCATTTGGGGTATTATCATATAATCGCCTTATTCACTTGTTTTATTTAAAATGTTTTCTCTATATTTCCTAACCTACTACATTATGCAAAGCACTCAGGCAATAGAGCAGATGAAAGAAGGAAGAACATTGTGGGTTCATAATGCTTAGTAAAAATCAGGGTTAGGGTTCCACTGGAAAAAATGTCTTCAGAAAGGTTCCATGACCAAAAAAGTTTGGGAACTGCTCTAGAGGTGCAAGTCCAAGCAAGTTCAGACAGAAAAAAAGGCCTACAACTCCCAGCATGCACCAGCCAGGAGCATGCTGGGAGCTGAAGGCCTTTTCTCCTGTCTAAACTTGGATAGGCTTACTCCTCCAAGTCTGTTGTTCTTCCTTCTCAGATTTCCTTGTGCCTTTGGCTGATTTCAAGTTCAGATTTTCCTATAAGTATGCAGACAAGACTAGTGTCAAACACCCAAACAAAACTACCTTCTGTCTGGAGGGAGTAAACACCATTTTCACTAAATCCCATGCAACACCTTCTGTCCAGGAGGCAGTGAGGGTATCGTGTGCATGTGCTTGGATGAGATTCCCAGGCATGCACAAGAAGTCAAGGGCCCTGGTGGGAACGATGGCTTAGGCTTGGAAGAAGAGGAGGTGGGTCATTGTCCCAGTAGGGGCTCAGAGTTCTCACCGGGATATTGGAGTTGTTGAGACTAGTGAGGCCCCAGGTGGCCATCTACTCCCGGAGAACCAGCCCGAGACAGCGCAGGATCAGGGCACTTCAAGGACAGGCACGGAACCCCTCTCATTCCTGACTGTGGGAAAGAAGCCAATAGAGAACAGCCTGGGGAGGCTCCCACGGGGGTTTGTGATGCTCGGTCGCGCAGGCGCACTTGCCAGCTTGGGCAATTAGAAACTTGATGGGAGAAGCGGCAGCAAGTGCACGTCCAGAGTGCACCTCCCTCCAGAGACCATAAGGGTTCATAAGCAAAGTTTGGAATGATGTCAGTCAAAGCAAGAGGTCAACTTTCTACCTTGAGTGTGCTTTGGAGCTTGTGAATACTTTGTAGCTGTGTGGAATAAAGACTCTTTTAACAACTAATGCAGTGATTGCCTTTGTTGAGAAGCGGCATCTGGGACTGTGACAGAGGGACTATGATTTTTAACCCAGGAGCAACCTTGCGTAAGGATGAGTGCTTGCTTGCCTGGGCCGTCTAAAGCAAGTACTGAGTTTAGAAATAATGGTTTGCTTCTTTTTCTGTTTAAAGAAAAAAATCTTGGCCTGCAACTTCGTGTTCATCATGTATGTTGAATAATAAACCTCATGCATGAAGTAATTGTGTGCTCTCTGCTCAGGGAAGCAGGGGGTGGGGCATCTAGTGGGGATTTCTGGACCACCCCGGTGTTGAATTCCTTTCTCACCCCCACAAATGAAAAGCTTTCTAGAACACAGAATCATAGAATCATATGCCGCAGAACTCTTTCGTACACACAGGGATTCGATTGCTGGTGGGTGGAGATGGTTTCCTGACAAAGCCACTGACCTCTGTATGCAAGATAAGCGCTAAACCATCTTTGCAATTATTTCTTTCTTTCTGTGACATCTAATAGATGGAGCTTTCTGGATAGTTCAAAGTCTTCCACCCCCCCCCCCCCAAATATAGGTAATTAAATACCACATAAAATTTAAATAAATTGGATATAAAACTATTTAAATAACTAAAAATTATTTCAGTAAAATACTAGATATGTTAAAAAGACAGCTAATATAATGTCATATGCCATTAACTCCCATAAAATGGGTACAGGGCAGTCTTAGCCTCAGTCAAAAAAGATTGGGTTCAATGGCAAGATTGTTCCAATAGTTCTTGTTTGTGTGTTTGCTCACTCGCTCGCTCTCTCTCTCTTTCCTTTGCAACCTTCCTCCACTTTTTTCCATTTCTAACAACCAACACACCCCACCCAATATTCTGAGGATGGTGACATAGCAGCAATCCCTGAAGTTCTACTGGTATCGTCTTTAAGTGTGGGCGCTAAGGAATTTTTAACTATCTAATGGTTATACTATCATTTTAATATATATTAAATATACATTTATATTTTTGGTTGCTTATGTAAACCATCTTGAGAGTTCATAACAATCAGACAGTGTATAATCGTATTGCAACAGGAAGCCTTCTATTCTCGGAATTGGATAACTATGCATTTTATGAATTTCCATTGCCCAAGAGACATCCAAGGTTCTCACACAACAACGCAGCAATAATTCTAGGCCCAGAATTGCAGACATTGGATGTCTTAACCACTCCCCAAATCTAACTATCCATGTGTGTGGGGGTTGTAGCCCCGTTAGTCCTACTTAGAGTAGACTCATTAAAATGAATAGGACTCAAGGTAGATTATATTGAATTGTAGCCAATTCAGTATGGAACAAACACAGAAACATAGAAACTGAGTGAGTCAGAAGGGGTCTCCCGGACCATCTAGGCTGACCCCTGGCTCAAGCTGGCTCTGCTCATGACATGCCTACCATGTGCATGTCTAGCCTATCCTTGAACATCTTCCCCAAAGGGACTTCAACCACCTCCCATGGAAGCCCATTCCATACCCTGGAGGTCCTAACTGTCAGGAAGTACTTCCTGGCATCCAAATTGAACCTTGGTTCATTGGGCTTTGCTTCGTTGGAGCGCGTCCTGCCCTCCTTTGCAGGGAAGAACAGGTCTCTACCCACCTCCGTGTGACACCCCCTCGCATACCTGTATGTTGCCAACAGATCCCCTCTGAGTCTCCTTTTTTCCAGGCTGAAGAGACCCAGTTCCCTCAGTCTCGCCTCATACGGCATCCCCTGCAAACCGGCCACCATCCTTGTGGCCCTACGCTGCACTGACTCTAACAAACAAACAGTTTACATCACTGTAAGATCCTAGGCTATCAGGCAACTAATGTCAATAGTAATTACTACTATAATTGCTACTTAGTGAAAATAACATAATGATGTTTCCATGCAGTCTTTTCCTTTAAAAGGTAATGGACAAGTATTTGGTAGATGGCTTCCCCGGTTAAAGCTGAAAATAATTTTTTCCATCATTTCCTCCTCAAAATTCTCCTTTGTGTATTGGAAGTCAGGTATTCTCCAGGCA